TGAACCGGACGGTCTGGCCGGCCGGCCGGCCGGCCAGAGTTTTTTTTAAATATATATTATATATATTAATAATTATTAATCGTATATTATATATAATTAATATTTTAATTTATATTATTTTTAATAAGAATATATATTATTTAACACACAAAATAAAAATATATATTAACTAAAAATAATATATATGAAAAATAATAATATATGAAAATATTAATATATATTAAAAATAATAATATTTTTAATAATAATATTTTTAGTCATATATATATTATTATTAAAAAGTAATAATATTTTTAGAATGTATTATTATAATATAATATAAATTATTATTTTTTAATGGTTACTTATAATTGATTATGTTTTGGTAACATACATTGTAATATATTGCAGACACCAATTGAGGATTTTGGAGGAGATAATGTTGATTATTGGCCTTTTTCAGAATAGATGAGATATATGATAGTTTTCAAAAAGCTGTTAACTATGCAGTCGGTATGACAACTATCTGTGGTTTTGAACTAATTATTTCAAAGCACTCAAAGGGAGGAACATTGAGGATTTTGAGGTGTAACCGAGGGGAACATTATCAAGGTAATAAAATATCCAATCTTGTTAATGTTGTCCTGAGAAAGTCGAAAACAAAATATAACGGATGCCTGTTTGAGATGAAATTGAAAAAAGTGGCCGGTACGAAAGATTCCTAGAGTGTATGTTTTCCTCTGGATGACCGAAAGGGATACCATAATCATCCGATGGTTTTGTATCTCGAGGGTCATCGACAGTTCAGGGGATTGAGTGAAAAGGCGAGACAGATCGTCCGTGACATGACAGCTGCCCATGCAAGACTGGCGGTAATATTGGCAGCGATACAGGAGAAATACCCATCTGACAACGCGATTCGTCAACAGGTTTACAGTCATAGGGCTAAACTCCGATCAGAGAGCTTCGAGGGCAGAGATGTGACTTCCCAGCTTATGCATCTGACTAGCCGGGCTAATTACATAGTTTTCACCGATTCTAATAAGGACACACACACCTTGACACGTGTGTTCATGTCCGCATCCCCAGTCAGCCCTTCTCTTTCAGACATATTATTGGTACGTCGGTATAGATTCGACGTACAAAACCAACAGGTACGTTACTTTATAAATAACAATTTAGTACGAATCTTAATTATTATGTCTGAGTAGGTGTAGCGCCCCGTTTCTTTTCAGCTAAATCATAGCATTGTCATCGGTCAACTAAGTTTAAGTCTCGTTGTTTATTTCTTATTATTTGCTCTTGTTTGACTTAAATATCCTAAATGTTGCATATGTTTTGTGATTTATTTGCGTACGTGATTATTTGGTTAATTTCTTAATTGATTATTTGATTAAGTGATTAGTTGTCTATTTTATTTGCCTACGTGACTATTTGATTATTTGCTTATGTGAATATTTGATTAATTGGTTAATTGATTATTTGATTAACTGATTAGTTGTCTATTTTATTTGACTACGTGACTATTTGATTATTTACTTATGTGAACATTTGATTAATTTGCTTAATTGAGTATGGATTAATTGCCTAATTGAATTATGTGATTAAGTGAATTATATTCTCTTAAGTAAATTACGTGATTAGGTGAATTATTTACGTAAGTGAATTATGTGATTATGTGAATTAATTTCCTAATATAATTATGTGTTTAAGTGAATTATTTGTCTTGAGTGTTATTTTATTTTTTCCTTTAATTTACCTAAGTGGTTAGTGTTGGAACCCACGAGGATCTCGATATGCACAAATCACAGACAAACATT